CAAATTGTCTAAATCACAGTGCACATCGTGGATTTATTCGGGAGTTCCTTTTCTTTTTAAAAACTAAGTATTCATTTAATATGCATATTAGTAAGACCTGCGTTAAAATAAGAAAAAGAAAGTAGTTATTTGAAAAATAACCAAAATTGCCGGCATAGGACACATATACGTACTAATAAATTTAGGATCTTGTGTGTAAACGAATGAGCCACAGTCGACGCTACGGGTTTGTATTTGTGAAGCACCCTTAAAATATCCTCAACTTAGTTTATCTTGATCGTTTGTTACAGGTATCCAAGCTTCCGTCATTGCTGCCGTCGCCAGTAGAGAATCCAGGGGCGGATCTCTGCTGGAAAAGACAAATGGTTACGGTGATGGAGGCAAAGCGTATGGGATAATGCAGGTAAATATTTATTCTACGGGGAAAAGTATAGCAGCCGACTCCCAAAACGGTCAGCTTCGGGCAAGAAAGGTTAGTTAGCCTTGACTCTCTACCAACCTTGGAGAAAGAAAAATTTGAGCTTAAACTATGCTGCTCTGCTTCAAAGGGCTTAAGGAGAAGGGCCTGCGGAAAACTCAGGAATAGGTGCTCATAAAGATGCTTGGAGTACATAGTGTTACCCTCTGGAAGAAGACTCGCTACTGTATCAGGCGTTTGCGGTTCCTTTGGATAGATTGACCGCTTAGAGAAGAGAAGAGCTGCGGTTTGGGCGTCATCGTCCCGACCATGACGAGTACCTCAAGTCCTCATCGCGTTATGGTCTAAGAGATGAACCATAGTAGCTCTAGGACTGAAGGAGGTCAACAATTATGTATTTATTTAGAACCTTTTTTAAATGCTGAAATGTTTTATTGTTTTGAACTAAATTTACTTCCGATATTCGGATACATACCTTAATCGATACATTTTTTCCCTCTATGAGAACGTTTGGATATTACGAAATGCCAAATATCACCTTTATTAACTCTTTCTCTCCGTAACTATTTACCACATTCTGGTGAAATCAACGCTGGTATCGTCAGTTAGGAGAGAAAGAGTTAAGCCACCCTCCCTAGCCTTTGAAACCAATCGCAACAAATCTAAATACCCCTTGCCACTACTTATTATGTGACGTTTGTTTATGCAGTAATTAGAGATGTCTATCTTTACTTTAATTTTTTGGACTACTTTGTTGAGTATTATCACCACAGACACGTAGATTCATGAATGAACTCAATTGTAGCAGACCTCATATTTATTATGCATAAAATAACAATTCGCAATAAATTGGCAAATTAAGGAACACAAGAAATTATTCACATAAATCCACCTTAATACTTTAAGAAATCTGACAAGTCCACAACTAGTGACGCTCTCTAGATACGTCTATACTCTTCTAAAACATGGAGATTACTGACTTCTAAAAATGTGATCAACTCTCAGAACGAGACTTCTTCCCCACAATTCCCAACTAGGTTTCACTTTCACATGAAACACTATAAACACAATAAAAAGTTGTACTCCGAAATTCCCGACTTTATGTCACAAACGCTGATGTGACACCCCCTCCCCACAGGTAACAAGAATATTCAAATTTATTTATTTATTAATTATCATTTTCCCAAATCACAGTATCGATTTGGCGCTTTGATGACGTATAAAGTCCCCCCCTTCCCCCGGTTACTTTACATAAGCATCGGGCGTCCGCCGGAAAGCCCGTGGGAAAACATGTGGTTTAAAAAAAAATCCGCTAAGTATTTTTTCCATTTAATAATTTCTTAAGCCCCTGATATACCCCTTCCTCGAAAGTCAAACGACCACTTGATCTCTTTTATCATTTGAATATTTTTTGTAGCAAATATTCAGACTCCCCTTTACCTCTTTTTATTTCTGAATATCCGAATGTTACCTATTTACATTACTTATATTAGTTTAACACTAGTACATAGCAATATAGAATATTTATATAGAATATATTACTACATTATTTATTAAAATTGTCTCAACAGTGTGATATCAAAAAATCGGGTCTCCCTTGTACATCAGTAAGTTGGAACAGCTGTGCGCATATCCAAATGATGACAGGCGCCCTGATTACTAAAATCAATGAGGTAACTTAATGACAATAATATAGAATATATTACTACATTATTTATTAAAATTGTCTCAACAGTGTAATATCAAAAAATCGGGTCTCCCTTGTACATCAGTAAGTTGGAACAGCTGTGCCCATATCCAAATGATGACAGGCGCCCTGATTGCTAAAATCAATGAGGTAACTTAATGACAGAGCTGTTGTCTCATTACAAGTTGTACCAAGGGTAAAATGTCACTATTCTTTGTGCTTTGTCCTTCTTTCCCTTGGTCAGTTACCACTAGAGCTCGAAAACTAGAAAATTCGACCCATAAGGGCCACCTATAAGTTTGTGTGAAAACAAACACTCAATGGTTTTAATCCAGTGGTGAATGTTAACTTATTTATAAAACGGCACACACTTGCACAAACAATCTTGATTATGAGATGGACACAAGTGTAAATCTTATATCTATAATATGTATACAGTTAGGTCATTATGTCAACAACGTTAACTGTAGGACTTTCATGAAGAAAAGGAGGTCAATGTTTTTTTCTTTCCTCCAACTTAGCCTTGGCATTTATAAATTAGTGGATGACGTGGAAAATAGCTCCAGTGTCACTCTACATCCCTCTAGCGTGTTATTGCATATTTCTTTCATTCTTTTTATGAATCCCTGTAGTAATTGTATTAAATCATCTTTCGAATATAAGTGAAACAGCTTCTGAATACCTTTTAAATCCTTCTACGAATTTGTCTAACTAATCTTATGAATAGATTTCTATTCTAATAACTAACTTATCTTCGCATTTTGTTCTAAATCTTCTAAATACCTTTAACTTTAAGCCTACTAGCTCTTCTTCTAAATCCCACTAACTCACTCTTAACTAAGCTCCAAAGAGTATATCAGTGGATCAAAATATTAAACACCAATTTTTAAATGGAACTTCAGTATTTGTGATACTTTGGAGTTTCTTTTAAAGGAATCATTGAAACTAGGCAACATTTATTTCCTTTGTTTGAATGCTTCTTTTGGATACTTCTTATGAGTGTTTCTTTTGGATGCCTCTTTCCATCTCTTTTTCAGGCCTAATGAGTCTTATAAAAAATCCTCTTGTTACCTTTCTAATTAAGTATAAGTCCAGTGCAGTGGGTTGTTGAACATTGAAGAGGATTTAATAAAAATTTGACAGTTTATGCATAGCTTTGATAAAAAAAAAATAAATGACAAGCTTATGGGCAACACAGTGAAAACTCTGGTTTGACAGTTATAAATTTTCAAAATGTAATTATCTTAAAATGTTTATAACAAGAAAAAAATATAAAATATCATTTATCTCTTTAAAAAAGTGTACTATAAAGTGGAAGAACTCAGCCCTTAAAACTTTTATCAATAATGTACAAGTTATTTCCCTTATTTGATATCAAACAAAATAATTAATTACCAATAATTAATTGACTAAGTAAGTATTTTTGTTTGATTCATGCTTTGTTAGGTACAATAAATAACTGTTAAAAGTATTAACTTGATCGGAGAATGCGTGAGGGAGAAACAGCGTTAACAATTATTAAAGGGGACTAAACCTAACAAAATTAGCCATATCTGTGACTACTTAAGTATTAGTTTCCTGTGTTGGTATCCAACAAAATAATAAATTACCAGTAATTATTTGTCTAATTGGTTACTTTTTATATTGATTCATGTCTTGTCTATACCAATGAATAATTGTGTGAAGTTTAAACTTGATCCGAGAATGGCTGTGGGAGATTTATCTTGTACAGACTTTTTACAAGACAGACAGACAGAAAGAGTGAGTTTTTATACGGAGACGCAGTGAATAAGTGGTAAATGGCTTCCATACCGAGAGGTTCCGAGTTAGAATACTGTTGAAGACGGATTTTATTTATTTTGGGATCTTTTGGGCGCCTCTTAGTACACCCAGCTCTAAAGGGTGCCTTATATAAGGTGGGGAAACATTAAGGCGGTAGGTCGTTGTCCAGGCCTCACAATTATCTTGTTTACTTTGGTCACAGAAAAAGATTACCCTTGCATCATCTGCCCTATAAACTGTGTAATGCAAATTGTGTACATTATTCTTAACTTTGATATATGTATATATGTGTGTAACTAAATTGGTCATTGTATTTATCCAATGATATTGTTCGATTTTGTTAAATGCATAAAGACATTGCATTGATTATGCGTTATTTTCTGTCATTCTTAAACAAAAGGTAAAGAAAAAATTTCCTAAATGGCCTGCAGAAAGACAATTGCAAGGTAAATACCAATAGACCTCAAGAGTAATTTATTACTTACGCCCCAGTATTTAATGTAATGATAATTTATTGGTCTATAATATCTACTGAAGTATCTATCTATCTATCTATTATTATTATAAGTTTTATATAGCGCTATTTTCATGCTTATAGCATGCTCAGAGCGCTTTTGGTCCAATCTCATCTGTGGACCAGTGGTGGGGAGGGGGTATCTAAGAGTTGGTTTTCCGTGCTGCCTTTAGGCGCTCAGTACACACTACTCTGCCCGAGTCGGGTGTCGAACCTCGAGCCCCATTCTAGGTAGCCAAGCCAAGCCAAGTTCAAGCGCACCTAGCCTCTCGACCACACTTTCCATCTATCTATCTATCTAACTATCCATCTATCTAGCAATATTAACAGTATTGTTTTATTCATTATGCTCTTGTATTCATTTAACATTTTGTATATTTCATTATCACATGTAATGACTTGCCATTCCTCAGGCGGGGTTGCTGCGTATAATTTTGGCTCCAAAAATGTTCAAAGTTGGTCTGGCCTGGATGTCGGCAGTACCAATGACGACTACAGCAATGACGTAATCGCTAGAGCCAAGTACCTGTACTCCATTGGTTGGAACTAAGTTTGTTTAGGTTAAACTCATATTATCATTTACTTTTCGCTTTGAATTGTATGGAAACGTGTGGACAGTAGCATACTAAAATACACACATTTCTTCTTATATATAAACAAAAGATGTTATAAAATAATGTTCTAGTTCATTTTGTGTGAAAGATTTTTTTAAATTTTAGTTGTTTTAAAAGACAATAAATGAAAATATATTATATACTAATTAGTGCAATTAAGTGTGCCTACCCATTAATAAAATCGACACAAACAGCTGGGAAAAAGTTGGACTGGATTTTAAAACGCTATTAAAGAAAATATATAATATACAAATTAGTGCGATTAAGTGTGCCTTCATATAAATAAAATCGACACTAAAAGCAGGGAAACAGTGACAATTGATAGATCGACATGGAGAGAGAGTATAAAGAAAGGGTCCCGAATCGCAGATGCCATACACAACAGTAGTAGAAAGAAGGGTGGAAATGCAACGGTGGTTCATGATTACAGACGCCCAAACTGTGACCGCAACTGTGTATCAAGGATTGGCCTCTTTAATCATTCAAGATGTGGGAAACACAAATCCCGAAAACTAACGAGGGTAGAGAAAATAATACAAAAATGTGGTTATAAAACAAAGAAATAAAGATGAAACTGACTGTAGCAATACGAGATTTCAAATACATTTGATACATTAATAAATATACATTTTAGAACCCATTATAAAAGTTGGCAAGAAATTCACCACTTTACATTGTAATAAGGCAAACAAGGAATTGAACTGCATTAAACGTATACAGATAGCGCAATATATTTGTTTAATTTGTATTTCAATGAATGGGACCTTAAATTATTTTATACATTATGGACCTTATTTTTTTTTTAAAAGAAGATAATAACGTCTGACGCATTTCATGTGCCAATCTTGTCACGCATGTGAATCAATGACTCTTCCAAGTCGTTGGTTTTCCTGGCTGACTCAGGCAACCCACTCCACGGGTCCGCCTAAGACACTCCACCTGGGCCCCTCGTACTGCTAAAGCCGCCTCTGAAGTACAGTGATGGGAGAACGAAAGAAAAAATAAAGGTCTTCCAAAAGAAAAACTGTCTGGACAATGTAGAACAGCGTTTCACAAACTTTTGACCAGTGTGTACCCCTTTTATAATTTTTATAATGCTGAGTACCCCTCGCCACCCAAGACACCTTAATTTATTAACAGAACATAATAAATGAGTATTTAACAAAAAATCAGCATAGTTAATGAGGTGTAAGGCGATTCCCCTCCAAAGTCTTCACGTAACCCTGGGGGTGCGCGTACCCCACGTTGGTAAACACTGATGTAGAACAATGAGCCGGCCTCTCTTAGGATATCGTGCCCAGAACACCCTCTGGCGATGAAGATTGGGAAAGACATGGTTACGCAAACAATCACAACACCGTTAGGGCAAAAATGATAGGACTTATGCTACTACTCTTTTTTTACAGTAGACTTTGAATACTGTTAGAAATGTTAATTTCATAGATTCCTAGTGCAATCACATACATGAGGAGATATCCAACCAGGATTTAAGTATCAGGAGGCCCGAGGGTCAGGATTTTTGTGAAGGACCCCTACAACTTTTCAAAAGTTTGAACGAAGATCCACTTATGAATAAGGATGCTATTTATAAGTAAAATCGTGCTATATTTAGAGGAAAGAAAAAGAGTTATTGTAAATTTAATAATAATTTCTTTTTTTACAAAATAATCTGCATATTTTACTTTCAAACATTATTGAGTTTGTGGAGGCTAAGGCCTAGGGTAAACAGATTGTCGTAAATTATACACAATCTCAGGTATAACAAATTCCATGTCCTCTACTAACACTTTGGTTCAGGTATCTCGCAGACGTAACTTGCGTCAAAGCGTTTCTTGCTATCATAGTAACAGTAGCAGACCCCTAGCTTCCAGTCGTACCAGATGCTGAAACACTGACAGTGGGAGCCCAGACCAGGAGAAGGCTGCGTTCTGTACCAGTCAAAGCTCAATCCTGCCATGGCTTGATGCTGGTTCACCCAGAATCCTTCATGCCCGTCATCTGTAGCTCCAGTCCACACGGACTTGTTGGTGCTAATTTTTAAGATGAAGTTTTGAACGAAGAGGAACTCTTCGTGGGAATCAAGTTCCAGAAGATATCCCCCAAACCTTTCGCACTCGCTTTGTGCTTCAGTGTAATTGAATACCTCGATGCCTTTTGTGAGATAGTATCGGTGGTCCTGAAACAAGTCTGAAGCATAAAAGTCAGACGCCAATGATGGAAATGTCTCGCTTTTATTATATACCACAAATTTGTCGATACATTGTTGCATTTGGTTCACTGTCTTCTCTAATGCACTTATGTTCGACTTTGCAGTTTGGATAACTTCAAACAGATCGGTCACACTTGTAGGCAGCACTTTTATAAAGGCGTTCTCTGTTACTGGTTTTCCTATCTGATCAAAGCCGGACACTACACACTTGAAAAGTCCGGTTAAGTTAGAGTCTGGGTACCTGAACTTTAACTGCAAGCTGGATTCACCATTGTTGTCTACTGATCCGGATACGACTTCTATATCCTGTGAGAGGTTGTGGGCGTGTCCGTCTACGTCATTGGTGGAGGCGAGGTCATGAAATAATGATTGGTCAGTTTGGTTTGCTCGTGCGATGACCTGGGATACGATGGGAGACATGGAAGGTAACTCATCTCGTCTGAAAGTACACTGCACTGTGACGTCTGTCGCAAGGCCAATAATGATTTATGGTGGGGTGACATTTACATGTACTATAGTGTTCAGTAGTTGTTCATCATCAGATGCAATGAGATCAACAACTGCAATAAAACAAATATTTATAGTACTTGATTTGCCATCTATAAATGTAAAGAGGAACACTCCAAACTATCATTCTTTTTTTTTAATTCTAAAATTCATTAGTAAGTGTTAGGGGGGCGAGTTCTCTTTAACTGTTGATTTTTTTCTATGCAAGGACAAGTGTTCGTTGTAGCAGTTTCAATATATATTTATTATACAAAAACTTTACAATACAACAAATTCTCCAACCTCTACAAACTTTCTGTTATTCGTTCTACAAGCTTCAAGTTCTAACTAACTCTCTATACACGATTTAAGTTCTAACTAACTCTCTCTACAAGCTCCAAGTTCTAACTAACTCTCACTACAAGCTTCAAGTTCTAACTCTCTACAAGCTCCAAGTTCTAATCAACTCTCTCTACAAGCTTCAGATTCTAACTAACTCTCACTACAAGCTTCAAGTTCTAACTAACTCTCTCTACAAGCTCCAAGTTCTAATCAACTCTCTCTACAAGCTCCAAGTTCTAATCAACTCTCTCTACAAGCTTCCAGTTCTAACTAACTCTCACTACAAGCTTCAAGTTCTAACTCTCTCTATAAGCTGCAAGCTCCAAGTTCTAACTAGCTCTCTCTACAAGCTTCCAGTTCTAACTAACTCTCTCTACAAGCTTCAAGTCATAACTAACTCTCTCTACAAGCTCCAAGTTCTAACTAACTCTCTCTACAAGCTCCAAGTTCTAACTAACTCTCTCTACAAGCTTCAAGTCATAACTAACTCTCTCTACAAGCTCCAAGTTCTAACTAACTCTCTACAAGCTCCAAGTTCTAATCAACTCTCTCTACAAGCTTCAAGTTCTAATCAACTCTCTACAATGCCTTAAATACCTTCTTCTCCACCAGTTCTTTACATATACCTCTACAAACGCAGTACGTAGACACTTGTATTGCCTCGCGTCTCACATTCGCGTGTCACAGTCACCCAGCCGTATCACCCACCCGAATCGTATCAACATACATCTTTCTCTCATCCAGACATTCACGGATGCGCACTCTCGTCTTCCCATTCTTCACAGTTAGTAAGATAAAAATAATCTCGCTCAATAAGTTGTATAAAGGTGAAAAAAAAATATTTCAAAGTTATTCTTCTCAATTATCTCATGGCCGGCTCAAGAGGGGGGCGCATGGAGTATAAGCGACGCTGCTGATTTGTCATTATAAATTGTATATAATGCCGATTTGTCATTATATAATGTGAACGAATCTGATGTGCACGACGTAAGCCGTAAGCCCCGTTAAGCCACCCTGTGGTGCCGCCTCGTATTTTCTAACATAGTAACCCATATTTTCAATATAATTCTATTCAATAAATACAGGAAGTCATACAGTATTGATGTAATGGAATTATCCAGACTGTACACAACAAGCTGATTACATCGCTTATATCGTGACACACCCGTAGATATGTCCGTTAGGAGAGACAGACACGCTAACTCGAATAGAACACTGCCTCCACACGAGACCAATTGTTATAGGAAGCCTGAGCATTGATTGTCGACGTTTCAACCTGTGTGCAGTGGAGACCGATAACTTGTTGCCACGGCACGTTTTAGCCAAAAAAAAAAGCATTGCATTTGGGAATATGAAAGAAAGGCTCCTCTCAATCACCTCGCTATTTCTCGCTGGGGGCCGTACGCTCTGAGGATTGCTCTCTGGCACTGTTAGTTGTGATAAAGTGTATGAATACGTAGGAACCGCTTTTAAGATTTGAGCGTAGGCAGGGTTCGAACCCGGAACTTTTGAAATGACAGTCCAGTACCAATTCTAAGCAAGCAAACAGACATCCATTCAGTCAACTGCTACCCTTTCAAATCTTGCTATCTATGGGCAGGTGAGGTTCCCCTAAAGTGAATTTAGGCTCATGATGTTAAGGTGATCTGTTCCTTTGGCCGATGGTTAACGAGCAATGTGTCATGTGGCCTTCACAACGACCAACCGTCTTTACTTTTCCTACCAAAGACAGATTTGGGTGGACTCATGTGCGCCCTAAAAATCTCGAAGCTCAAAATCACAGTCTTCATCGAGATTCGAATCCAGTACTCCAGGTTCATAAGTAAGATAAACTTAATAAAGAGTACCTACCTGCGTGTACTTATGATGCTAAGTACAAAACACATACTGAAATTATTAGTATTGCGCATCTACGCAGTTGTCGACACTACGAAACATCAAATTAAAGATATTTAAACCTGAATAATCTTAAAACAGCTTTTCGTAATTTGATAACAAACTTTTCTAAGTCTTTATCGCAATCATTCCATCTCGCTCGTTATCTGAAGAAGTTTTTTTTTATGCTAGAGTTATCTCCGCGCTTGATGCAAGAGTGTTGTGAGATTGTATTTAACATTTATTGCATTCTATCTCAACTTAAATTTGTCTATATTGTAATAAAAGTTGTATTTAATATAGATCCAGTTCATAAAGAAGTTATTCGAGTTATTTAAGTTTTACAAGCTAAAATATAAAACGTCTGCAGCGGTTTAGTTGTCTTCCAGCAGTTTGGTGCTTAAAGTCAATAACTGTCAACGACAACATGCACTAGCGGATCCAGAACTTTGGAGTGGGGGGGGGGGGCGATTTTTTTCCAAACCCTAACCCTAAGCATAAACGTTAATATAGCATATATATATATATATATATATATATATATATATGAGAATAAAATAGAGCAGTGTTTCTCATGTTGAGGCCTTTCTCTTGAAAGCTTGGGGGTCTGGGGGAGCGCTGTAAGATTCCCTCAGTGGGGTTCGCCAAAAGCGTTTTCTCGCATTCTTCACTGAAGAAACCCACTCTCCTGACATTTAAAGCTCATTATTTATCAGTGGGGTTCGGGACTAAGCCCCGACGCAAAAAGCGTTTTCTTGCATTTTTCACTGCAGAAACGCATGCTTCTGACATCTACAGCTCATTATTCATCAGTAAGC